ATCTGATTGCCAGCTTAGGCCCAATCCCCCGGGGAGCAAGCCTAAGCCAGCAGGTGGTCAACCCCCAGACTGCGAGAGGGCACAGGCTGGGCTTAGGGACACCCCCGAGTGCACAAATTTTTGTGCACCCGGTCTCTAGTTTCTAATATCATTATTTTAATTTGACCATTAAAAACATTCTATTTGGAAGATTTCCTCCCCACTGAAAATTCTTCAGTCTAAATGATATCCCCATGTACTGTGACTCTCAATATGTTTAGTTGCATCTTAAAATTCTGTATTTTAACTGTTAAATATTTTTAAGTTTTATAAATAGATATAAAGATGCAACATTTTGTTAATTATAAAAATTGTATATGTGTAAAGACTGTTCAAAGTTAATGAATAATGGGATCCTGGGACAGAAAAGGGACAGTAAATAAAAATGAAAAATATTTGGCCCTGATGCTCACTTAGTAAGAGCATCATCCCGATGCATCAAGGTTGTGGGTTCGATCTCCAATCAGGGCACATACAAGAATCAACCAATGAAGTGGAACAACAAACCAATACTTTCTCTCTCTCTCTCTCTCTCTCTCTCTCTCTCCTCTCTTTTTAAAAACAAACAAACAAAAAACAAAACAATCATTATATGACATACCAATGGACACAGACACCAGGGGGGTGAAGGTATGAGTCGGGGGGGGTGGGGGGAGGGTAGAGGGGAAATGGGGAGATATGGACACATGTAATACCTTAATCAATAAAGAAAAATAAATAAGTATAATTTGGCTGAGAAAAATAATAAAAATAAATCAATGAATAAAAAATTAAAAATGAAACAAATCTGAATAAAATATGGACTTTAATAATGTATCAATATTTTGATAAATGTAGCATACTAATGTAACAAGTTAATGAAAGAGGAAACTGAATATAGAGTATATGTGGACTCTACTATTTTCACAACTTTTCTATAAGTCAAAAACTATATTTTTAAATTTATTTAATAGCAATGAAAACAAAAAAATGTAAATTTATAATTTTGTGTACTCTAAAGCTAGAGAAAATAGGCTAAAGGTAAATATAACCTATTTTTATGAAAAAACTAGATTAAAAACTCATATTTCTACCCAGAGTTAGCCTCCATAAACATCTTTTTTACTAATTTTCAATATATTTTTAAAAATTTTTATTTTTTACATGAACTTTTTATGTAGCTGGGATAAAAGCACATGCCCCTTTACATCATGGTTTTCTATGTGAGGGAGCAGTAGAGTGGAGTGTTTAGTACTTACAAGAGGTTGAATCCCCCTGCCTGTCTGTGTGATAATATCACTAACTTCTCTGAATCTCAGTTTATCATCTGTAAACACAGGGAGTGAGAATATGCCTAGAAAGCACTTATCAGAGAGTCCAGCATAATCACTTGATAAATATTTTGTAGGGACACTATAAGCATTTACCTGCTTTGTTAAAATTTTATAGATTTTTTCTATAATCAGGAAAAAATTGGTAAGTACCATAGCAATTTTCATATTTTCAAGAGTAGTTTTTTTCTTCATTTGAGTCATAGGCCCAAGGGTATAAGATGGATTCCCTCTGTGGAGGGCAGAAGATGTGGAAAACAGAAACCTTAAAAAATTTCACCCTGCCCTAACTGGTTTGGCTCAGTGCTTAGCCTGTGCACCAAAGGGTCGTGTGTGTGTGTGTGTGTGTGTGTGTCGGTGTGTGTGTGTTGTTTTTTTAAATAGGTTTTTATTGATTTCAGAGAGGAAGGGAGAAGAAAAAGAAATACAAACATCAATGATGAGAGAGAATCATTGATCAGCTCCCTCCTGTACACCCCCATTGGGGATACAGCCTGCAACTCGAGCATGTGCCCTGACCAGGTATCAAATGACGACCTCATGGTTCATAGTTCAATGCTCAACCACTGAACCATGCTAGGCAGGCAAAGGTCTCAGTTTCAGTTCCCAATCAAGAGCACATATAGGCCTGCAGGTTCTATATCCAGCCTATAGGGCAGTATTTGGGAGGCAACCAATCAATGTGCCTCTCTCACATTGATGTTTCTCTCTCTCTCCCTCTCCCCTCCCCATCAATTCTATCTAAAAGCAATGGAAAAAATATGCTCAGGTGAGGATTAGAAAAAAGAAATTTCACCCCGAGCACCACAATTTTTAACAAATTGGGATGAGGTATTTTTAGTGTTTTGTCCTGATTTTTTTTTCACCAACTATAGATGGACATTTTCCTCTGTTATGAAAAATTATTCCCAACATTTCTCATAGGAGCATAACATTCTATACAGTTATATCATTATGTAGATGCTATTATTTGCTACATCATTCACTTACTATGAATAAATATTGTTGCAATAACAAATAATGCCTTAATGAGCATTCTGTTTTGTTAAATTTTGTTAGATTTAATTTCTTTTTTTTAAATTTTATTTTATTGTTTAAAGTATTACAAATAGTAGTACATATGTCTCCTTTTTTCCCCCCATTGACCTTTCCCCAGCCTCCTCTACTACCCCCACTCCCTCCCGGCACATGCCCTCACCCCCCCCCATAGATTTAATTTCAAATTGAATCAAAGCTTATGAAGTTTTTTTTATTAGTATTACAAATGTCTCTTGATACATCACAAGATCGCAGATCACAGATTAGCTTTTTGCAAATATACATTTACTCCAATGATGCATGGAAATGCCCATTCTTTGCCATAACAGAATAGCTTCAAATCCTTGCTAATTTATAGGCAAATAGTATTTCATTATCTTAATTAACATTTATCTGATTTACTAATAAATTTTTAACTTTTAAAAGTATTATCCACTTGTGCTTTTTTTTGAATTATCTATTTGGGTCCTTTGCCCATTTACAGTTTGGACTCACATTTTCTCACTATTTTTATATGAGTTTTATATATTAGGTATATTACTTTGTACTTATAATAAATATTTAGAAATTTATTCGTGGTTTTGACACAGAGCAATTGTTTATTCGTTTCGTAGTTAAATTTAGCTATATTTTCTCATAGGCCCTGTCTAAACAATTGAATGATACTCATAATGAACTTAATGATATAAAACAGAAGGTTCAAGATACTAATTTGGAGGTTAACAAGCTGAAGAATATATTAAAGTCTGAAGTACGTATGTATATTTCCCCTCCTTTCTCATGATAGCTGAGTTTTCACTGAAGTTACTAATCAGTTACACTCATGGGGAGAGCTGAATCAAGTCTTCCTTTAATGCACAGCATATTTTAGTGTTGTCAGTGGGTGGGTTAATTCTGTATTTAGAACACCACCAATGTCCAGAATCCTCCCAACTGTGTAAAGGACAGGGGACCAGAATCAACTTTGGTTCATTCATATTTGAAAATGGTGGAGCCTCTAAGTACAAACTTGGACAAAAGAGGCTCCATGTTGTGTAGCAGATGAGAATTGATCACGCTACTGTGGGTCCATTTATTTCTTAGTATCAGAAGGCAGATGGCTCTCCTTGGGACTTCTGAAAAGCAAGGTGCATGGATGGTTAAAGTAAATTTAAATGCATGTGTGACAATCCTGGAATAAACAGAGGCCTTGATGAATGATGTTAGATATGTCCATTTAGTAAAATGCTATCTAAAATAGTGTAGTTTCTTTGATTAAAAAGTATGGTTGGATTATAATAGGTGTAATGTTTGTTACCTACATACCACTGAAACCATTAATAGAAACTCACCCCAAGAAAATCTGTTTTCTTTATTTTATTTAACGTATTATTTCATATCAGTCCATAAACGTATGTAGAGCATTTATGTGTGGTGCTCATTAGATTGTTTAGGACATTGGTAGATAGTGTAAGGACTCCTAAATTGCAATCCTTGCTTTCAGGCAATAAAGCAGTGAGCTTACGTTGACCAAGCAGGCATTTCCCACCCTTCTTGGTTTTAAGATGCCAGCATGTAATATCATGAATGGACAGAAGCTCTGGAATGAGAATTCTGGAGTTGTGTTTTCAGACATCACACATCAAGTTTCTCTTAGTTTTTAGCATGCGAGTATGAGTTCTTTCACTGGGTTTCATTTCACAGCACCATTGGATGGATCCAGGCACCTCTTGCCCTAGACAGCACAAAGCACGACTGATAGCCTAGTAAGAATTGTCAGGTGCATTCTTCATTCACTCATCCATTCAGCATGCAGTGTGCTAGGTGCAGAGGTGCCAGAGATGAAAACTGAAAGGAAACAGAATGGCACCCAGGCAGTGGGGACAACATCAGCAAAGGTGTTAGGAGAAATAGTAGGTCCTATAGCTAGAGTGGCATGTATAGGTGGGTGATAACAGGTAAGAAGGACTTGTTTGAACACCATTTTCAGGACACGTTTGTTACAACAGAAACACAGAAGTGATTTGAAGAACTGCCTTTAAGATTATTCTGGAGATGTTGGGAAGAATAAATCAGAAGAGTAAGAATATCGCGCAAGAGAGCAATTAGGAGAGGCTGTATGCATAATTCAGTCCAGAAGGGGGAGGGTTCCAGTGGAGGCAGTTAGCTTTGCTGTGGTGGAGTGTTGTAAGGAGCACAGGGGACCACCAGAGGGAGCTGTTGGGTACAGGGTTGGGGGTAAGACATCTTGAAAGAGAATTGGAGAATACCAAGCAGTTTCACTTTCTTCATGCTGTTGCCTATCTTGGTCCCCACACTACTTTGGCTTCTTTGGACAAATACAAAAAAGGGTAAAATATGGCCTCTTGGTTGCCACAAGGAAGGGACCCTTGGTGGTTGGAGGGCAAGACGTTTTATGGCAATTCTTTTTTACCACTTAAACTTTGAATCTGTATTACCTAGTCACAAAATAAATTTTTTTAAAAATATATTTTATTGATTTTTCACAGAGAGGAAGGGAGAGAGATAGAGTCAGAAACATCGATGAGAGAGAAACACCGATCAACTGCCTCCTGCACATCCCCTACGGGGGATGTGCCCGCAACCCAGGTACATGCCCCTGACCGGAATCGAACACGGGACCTCCCAGTCCGCAGGCCGACGCTCTATCCACTGAGCCAAACCGATTTCGGCCACAAAATAAATTTAATATAAAAGTTGATTCCTATCTTTGAGGAATCCAAGTTGTTATTGGGGAGATTGTACATCTGCTTCTAATTTCCTAAAGCTGTAAGGCAGTTTTAAGAGAACGGCATAGACAGTGAGTGCTACAGAAAGTTAAAGAGGGTAAATTTAGTTTATGTATATTGTACCATGTACCCCTCAAGTACATAGTCTGTACACAACTGTTATTTTTACTACAATAATGGAAAACACACATCAGGTCCCTACTGGCACGTTTGGTATATTTGAATCTTGAAAGTCAGAACAGTAGTTTGGCTTGTAAACTTGTTATCTAACACTCTGCAAAGATCTTTCAAATTAGTCAAAGTACCATCAGGCCACAAGGTGGTAATATTGATCTGATTTCAACCAGACTTATGGTTGAATCATATTGTGAGGATTTAAATCTGATTTGAAAGCCTTATAGTGTGAGACACTGTTTATTGCAATTTGGTCATTTTATTTAGCCCAATGCTTCTAAATGTGCACTGTTTATTAACAGATAGGAGAGAAAGATCTAGTGCCTTTTAAATTTATTACCAAAATTATAAATTATTTTTTAGAATGAGTTGGCCAAACCATACTACTAAATATGTTTTTAAATATAGCCTCAAAATGATTACTAAATATAGTATATTATCTGTGGAGCTGACTGCTTTCCTCTAGAAATAAGATCCTACTTTAGTCCATCTGTTTTAAGGTTTAAAAATGCAGTTCCATATTATATGCCCAATATATACCTGGATGTATAGTTATGAATAGTGTTTATTGGCATAGGTTTGATTTGTAGTTTCTGAGCCATTTCAGACAAGTTATTAGAGCAGTGAGCAAAAGTGGATCATAGCACAGTCCATGATGGAGTAACCTAAAGAAGGGGTTCTGAATGAAAAGCCAGAATCAAACAGGAAATGCACCAAGCCAGGAGAAGTACCAGACGTTGATGCTTATTATATGCCATCAGTCAGAAGCTCTGTAGGCAGTACAACTCAGAAAAGTGGTCAGGAAGAAGGGACTAGAAAGATACAAAAGGTCAGGCCAAGGCAGACGCTCCGAAACCAGGCCAGCAACTAGTCAGTAAGCAGGTACGTGGGAAATTGAAGCAGTGGAGGATTCTGTTTGAACAAAAGCAAATATAAGAACTTATTCATCCATGTCCTAAGGAGGAGAGTAAGCAACTTCACGTGCCTGGATGGGTGAGTGTGACTCAGGAGCCAGGGCAGATGCTGGTCCCACCCCCTTTTGTTAATTACAGGATGACCGATTTTCCAAACCGAGAGTGCAGGGAGGATTCCTCAAGGTTATGTTACAAATGATCCTTGTGGCAAGAAAATTATCAATGACCTGACAAATAATGTTTAATTATATGTTGAACATTTTATATCTTTTAAAGTATTACCTAGGGTTTGCTTTTCAGGAATCTGAGAACCGGCAACTAATGGACCAACTCCAAAAAGCCAATGAAGATGCTGAAAATTGGGAGAATAAGGCCCGGCAAGCAGAGATAGACAACAATACCCTCAAATTAGAACTTATCACTGCTGAGGCAGAGGGTAACAGATTAAAAGAAAAGGTAGATGCCCTCAGTAGAGAGGTCGAGCAGGTGAGTTTGGGAAAGTGTGCTTGTAGTACATCCTGCATCATGTTGAAGAGTTTAGATTGCCTTTCCATAAATTAAATATGTAAGCAAACATTTAAATTATTTAAATATACTGTGAGTTGTGGCCTGATAACTGTTCTTGTATCCACTCTGGTTCTCTTCTAATCAATTACCTGCCCTACCACTAGAGCAATCTTTAGCATTTTTCAAAATTAGGAACTATTTCAAATGTACCAAAAAAGTGCAAAAATCAAGTAATATAAAAGACATGCTTATACACCCCAAACCCATATTTAAGGATGCTCACATTTTGCCATATTTACTTCTAGTTTTTCTTTATTTCAAGAAGCAAAATATTACAAGATCCAGTTACTCATCCTATCCCCTTCTCCCTCCCTATTGGTTATTGTGTATAAGGTTCCTGGTTGTATAACTCTTTTGCATGTTCATATTTTCGACATATCTCTCAACCTCAGATGATGCATAAAGTTGTTTTTTGTGCTGTAAGTTTTTAAAAGTGATAATACACTATAAGTAACCATTTGCAACCTGCATTTTTTGCTCAATATTATAATTTTGAAATTTGTTAATTTTGATACAGTGTATATCTCAACAGTTGCATCTCTATTCATTGTATAAATCTTTTCTTTTTAAAATTTATTCTTATATGGAAATTTAAGTGTCTTCATTTTTTAAATAATAAAATGTTACAAAATCCTGTTTTGTTTCTCCTTGAATATATATTTCTCTAGATTTGTGCCTGGAAGTGGAATAACTGGATCCAAGATATATACAATTTTAACTCTTCTTGGTATCAGATTGCTCTCTAAAGTATAACTCTTCCACCAGAAATCATGCAGTTATCATTTTCTCAAATACTAATCAGTACCTGATATTATCAGACATTTAATTTTTTCCCATACTTTTTGTTTCCTTGATTACAAGTGAAATTGGAGATCTTTTCATGTTTCTTCGCCATTCAGGATTCCTGTTTTATGAATTTTCTCTTACGTTCCTGGAACAAATTTTCTTAAGCTCTCCTATTTGCTATGGAGTTGTTTATCTTTTCAATATTCATTTAAAGGGATTAGCTATGTATTCTTAATAATAATCCTTTCATCTGTAGCTTGTCTTTTCACTGTGCTTGCAATATAAACAGAAGTTTTAAATTCCTGTGCTGCTGTAATTAGTCAACCCTTTACCATGTGGTTTATGCTTTTATGTCTTCTTTAGGAAATCTTTTGCTATCCCAAGACCAGAAAGATTATTTTCTTACATTTTCATTTAAAAGTTTTTCTAAATATATGTGAAATTTTGATCTTCACATTTAGATCTTTAATTTACTTGAGATTGATTTTGTACATAGTTTAAAATAAGTAATTTTATATTTTTGTGGATGGATTTCTGCCAACCTTACTTCACTGAATTATAAATCTACTTTGTCATAAAAATGTCCCTATACATTCTGCTCCATTGGTCAATTTGTCTATCTCCTTCCCAACGTATACTCTTGGAGCTTCTGTAGTTTTGTTAAGTCTTGATATCTGGTTGGATTCATGTTCCCCAAAATATATTGACTATACTTTTCCCTTATTAGACTCTCAAATAAATTTTATAATAAATTGATCACATTCCATGATTTAACATGGCAGCTCTACACAAACTGTCAACAGGTGAATAAACCAATTGTGATATAGCTAGACAGTGGAATATTATGACAATATGAACTAATGAATGATTTCCAAAATCATTGTGCTGAGTGAGAGAAGCCAAGACACAATGAGTACCGACTGTGTGATCCATAAAATTCTAGGGAAAGCAAATCTAATCCAGAATGACAGGAAGCAAACCCGTATTTGTAAGGACTCACTTGAATAACTGACATATTTTACTTAGAATTGTGTTTTACATATTAATATAGCTATCTAATTTATTGTTGACGAAGTACCTGTGTATCTAATTTTTAACCAATTGTATTGAAGTATAATTTACATGAAATAAAAACACTCATTTTAAGAGTGTGATCTGATGAGCTTTGACAATTGAACACACTTGCGCAATCATCACTACAATCAAGTTACAGGACATTCTATCTTCTCCTTAATTCCCTCAAGCCCTTTTGCAATCAGTCCATCCCAATTCCTAGGCAACTACTGGTTTGCTTTCTGTCATTCTGGATTAGATTTGCTTTCCCTATTATTTTCATGTGAATGGAATCACACAATCTGCACTCATTGTGTCTTGCTTCTCTCAGCACAATGATTTTCATTAGTTTATATTGTCATCATATTCCACTGTCTAGCTATATCACAATTTGTTTATTCACCTGTTGATGGACACAGTTAGTTTGTGTAGAGCTGCCATAACAAAATACCACAGATTGGAGGGCTTAAACAACAGATTTATTTTCTCACAGTTCAGGAGGCTGGAAGTCCAAGATCGAAGTGCCACAGGTTTGGTTTCTTCCGAGACCACTCAAGTTGGTCTGCAGATGGATGCCTTACCTCTGTGTCCTCACACATTCCTCCGTGTGTGTGCATCCCTGCTGTCTCTCTTCTCATAAGGACACCCTCCTTATGATGTCATTTAACCCTAATTGCCTCCTTTAAGGCCCTATCTCTAAATACAGTCACATTTGGGGTTAGCCTTCAGCATATGACTTTTGAGGGGAGCCAATTCAGTTTCTATTTGGGGTCATTATGAATAAAATTGCTGTGAACATAGCATGTAAGCCCTTGTGTACACATAAGTTTGTATTTTTCTTGGATAAATAACTAGGAGCGGAATTGCTGGCCCTCATGGTAATTGTTCTCAACTTTGTAAGAGACTTACAAACTGCTTTCCAAATTGTTTGTTCCGCTTCACACTCCCATTTGCATTGTATGCAAGTTCCAGTTGCTATCCATCTTTCCCAGCCCATGGCATTGTTAATAGATACCACTTTGTGGGTTTAGTTTGCATTTCTTTCATGACTAATGATGTTGAGCAGCTTTCCATTCTGTATCGTATGTCTGATCACTAATATATCTTCCTTTATAAAGTATCCAGATAAGTTACTCATATTTTATTAGAGGTCTTGATATTAAGCTGTAAGAATTCTTTTGATTACTCTAGATGTTCCTATGTGTATTTTTTAATATTTACTTCCAGTCATTGGCTTGTCTTTTTATTTACTTAAGTCTGTTTAAGAGCAGAAGTTGGAAATTTTTTATGAAGTCCAATTTATCAGTTTTCTTTTCTACTTTGCACTTCTTTGTCCTAGTAAATCTGTGTAGATACTAAGGTGCATAGATTTTCTTCTGTTTCTTCTAGGAATATTATGCTTGTTATATTTAGATCTATGATATATTTTAAATTAATAGTTGTGTGTGATGCAAGATGGTCAAGGTTCATTTTCTAAAATTTATTTTTCAGTTACACTTGACCTGCAGTATTATATGAGTTTCAGGTGTGCAACACAGTGATTAGACATTTATATACTTTATGATGTGATCTCCACAAATCTAGTATCCATCTGACATCATACATAGTTATTTTACAGTTATTGACTATATTTTCTATGCTGTACTTTACATCCCTGTGACTAGTTTTACAACTGGCAATTTGTAATTCTTAATCTCTTCATCTTTTTTACCCTTCCCCCCAGTTCCCCTCTCATCTGGCAACCATCAATTTGTTCTCTATCAGTTTGTTTCTGTTTTGTGCGTTGGTGTTTTTTAGATTCACATATAAGTAAAATCATACGGTATTATTTGTCTTTCTCTGACTGACTTATTTCATTTAGCATAACACCCTCTAGGTCCATTCATATTGTCACAAGTGGTAAGATTTCTTTTTTATGGCTGAATAATATTCCATTGTAGATCTGAATGGCATCTTCTTTACCCATTCATCTATTGATGGACAGGCTACTCCCATAACTTTGCTATTATAAATAATGCTAGAGTGAACACAGGGTGCACATAACTTTTCAAATTAATGGTTTGTATTTCTTCAGATAAATACCCAGAAGGGGGTTTTCTGGGCATATGGTAGTTCTATTTTTAATTTTCTGAGTTCTATTTTTAATTTTAATTAACATCCTATGGTTGCACCAATTTACAATCCCACCAATAATGCACAAAGGTTCTCTTTTCTCTACATCCTTGACAACACTTTTTGTCTGTTTTATTAATGATAGCCATTCTGACAGGTGTGAGAAGATTATCTCATTGTGGTTTTAATTTGCATTTTTATGATTAATGATACTGAGCATTTTTTTCATATGTCTATTTCTCATCTGTGTGTCTTCCTTGGAGAAGTGTCTGTTGAGGTCCTTTTGCCAAATTTTTAATTGGGCTGTTTGTCTTCCTTGTGTTGAGTTGTATAAGTTCTTTAATTATGTTGGAAATTAACCCCTTATCAGATGTATCATTAGCAAATATGTTCCGCCATATAGTGGGTTTCCTTTTCATTTTGTTGATGGTTGTTTTTCCTGTGCAGAAGCTTTTTAGTTTGATGTAGTCCCATTTGTTTATTTTTTTCTTCTTTTCTCTTACCATAGGAGATATATCAAGAGATGTCTGAGATTTAAGTGCCTATGTTTTCTTCTAGGATTTTTATGGTTTCATGACTTGAGTTTATTCTTGTGTATGATGTAAGTTGGTGGTCTAGTTTTATTTCTTCACGTGTACCCATCCAATTTTCCCAACACCATTTATTGAAGAGACCATCTTTACTCCATTGTATGCTCTTGTCTTCTTTGTTAAATATTGATTGATCATAAAAACTTAGGTTGATTTCTGGGATGTCTGTTCTGTTCCATTGATCTATATACCTATCCTTTGCCAGTATGAGGCTATTTTGATTATAATGGCCTTGTAGAATAGTTTGATATTAGGTGTTGTGACACCTTCAATTTTGTTGTTCTTCCTCTAGATTGCTGAGGCTATTAAGTGTCTTTTTTGTTCCATATAAAGTTTGGAATAGTTTTTCTAGATCTGTGAAATAAGCCATTGGTATTTCAATAGGAATTGCACTAAATCTATAGATTGGTTTGGGCAGTATAGACATTTTAATGATGATAATTCTTCCTGTCCATGAACATGGTATATATGTTCCTGTTTATTTGTATCTTCCTCTATTTCCTTTTTCAATGTTCTGTAGTTTTCTGAGTACACAGCCCAGCACTCGCCCATCTGGTTCCCAGACTAAAGCCTCTCCAGGAGACACAGTCTGAAAATTCCAGTTTTGCATGGTTCCCCAGCTACCCACACCACTGAACTAAAAAGAATGGGGCCAAAGGACAGCTCTGCAAGACGCTCCCATCTCTGCGCATCTGCTCTCAGCAGGGTGGGGCCAAAAGCTCTGCACAAGCTTCAAACCCAGCAGGCTGGGGCCCCAAATCCCAGCCCGGCACAACTTGCCTGTGACACCAAACCCAGATGTGCAGGACAGGCTGAGTGGTTCCAGAGGTGTGGGGAGGTGCCGGCTGTGCACTCAGGGTCGGGGAGACTTATCCTCTTTCCCAAGCCACACAGTTTAGAGCTCCACCAAAAGCCTCCCCGCAAAATCTCTTCATCTTTTTTACCCTTCCCCCAGTGCCCCTTTCCTCTGCGGCCATCAATTTGTTCTCTATGAGTTTGTTTCTGTCCTTTTGTTTTGTTGCAGTTTTTCAGTCAGAGTTTCCATGCCTCTTATTAGTCTGGAAAATTCTCAGATGTTATTTCTTTGAATATTACTGCCTCCAAATTTACTGTTTCCTTTAGCTTTTATAATACACTTTTTGAATCTTTTAGCCCAATGATTATTAATATTTTTATTGTATGTTTTAGATGTTTATTTCTCTGTGCTATGATCCATCATCTAGTTCATTCTTCCCCTTCAAGCTGTACCATTTTGTTTTTTGATGCATTCATTAATTTTCATTTACTTTTTCTTTCTAGAAGTTCTATTCAATTCTTCTTCAAATAGAAGAGGAATGTTTTTAATTTTTCCTTAATGTCCTTTTAAAATTTTTTAATGTCTTTAAAACTTTTAAAGATATTTTCCATGCCTTCTAAACTATTTTGTTCCATCATTTGAAGTTCTAGAACTCTGATCCTGCTATGTGCTGTGTTACTCTGATTCTCACTATTTGACTGTAATCTCCTCTTGAGATGGGAGTTTTTTTTCTCCAATAGACTTGTATGGCCAGGGAGATAGGTGGGCTTCTTCAAACTTTATGTTGAAGTTTAGAATTTGGATGGATAGTGTAAAGTCCGACTTCAAATTTGAGTGAATGCAGACCTGAGGTTTCAATTTCTTACAGAGGACATTTTTTCCCATATCCAGAGACTAGGTCAAGATAAATTTTTGTTTGTATCTCTGTGAGGTTGAGTGGATTTTTTTCCCCTCAGAGCCTCCTCTCAAGGGTCCCAAATTATGTATAGGTCTCAGTTCCAACTCTCCATTAATTCTACATCTTGTCTCCTATCCTTGCTTGAATGTTGAAATGTAAGTCATTCACTGTTAGTGGCTCTTTCAACCCCCAACTCTTAGCTTTAGGCTTTCATTTGCTTCCTGCTCTGGCTTGGTTTTCTTTGTTTTTGACATGTGAGGATTTTTCTTTCTTCCTTAAAAGCTCATCTATGAATTACAAAAATCCTTTTTGTTCTATTTTATCTTAGCCTTTAAAAGGTTTTCCTCTTAATCACTACCTTACTGGAATCTGAAACATACTGAGTGACATTTTCCAAACAAAACTACTAGTAATTGCATCACCTCCCTCTGTAGACCTTTCAGTGGATAAAGACCTAATTTTTAACCCACTGACTAGACTTTCTGTTTTGTATATCTTTTCAGTTGCATCCCTTCTCACTCTTCCCTGTGGTCTCGGGGCTCCAGCCATACTGGCCTCCCTCTCTTCTTAGAGCATGTCATTTTCCTCCTTTCACATATGCCCTCTAAGCTTTGCCCTTCGCATTCCTGACTTGGAAAGATGCTCTCTCCAAAACACACTGTATATGTCTGCTCACCTTGCAGATCTCATTCACCTCAACTGTCATTTGTCCAGGAAAACCTCTCCTGACTCTCAGTTTAGGTCATGTTCCTTTATTATACACTCTTTTCTCTAGAAGTATTTGCTTAATATGTATTAATATATTCATTTGTTTATTTGATTGATGCATGACTCCCCCATAGTCAGAAAGTTTTATGAGGGCAGAGACCATATTGTTTATCATTGGTATGCATCTAAGCACATTGACTGAAAAATAGAATATACAATAAAAATAGAATGGATGGATAGAAGATTATTTAAAGAATACTTGTGCATTAAATATAATCATATTCTGTTTTTAAAAAAAAGAATAAATGAGAAATAGAGTGAGTGAGGAAGGAAGGAAGGGAGGGAGAAAGGTAGGAGTGAATTGTGACCACATAATTTATTCCAGGAGCGGAGCAATTTTTGTGTACTTTGTACTTGTAAAAGCCGAAAAGTGTCTTAATTTGCTTCTCAGTTTTTTTATCTTCACATAACAAATACTTCTCTATAGGTGGCAGTGTAATTAAGATTTTTTTTTTCTGGAACAGTATCTTGAATATTTGAAAACATTTATATAACTTGAATCTCATATTACCAGTTTTTTGTTAATCCTCACCCAAAGATATATTTCCCATTGATTTTTCCATTGAAGGCGGGGAGAGGGGAGAGAGGGAGAGAGGGAGAGAAAGAGAGAGAGAAACATCGATGAGAGAGAGTCACATCAATTGGTTACCTCCTGCATGCACCCTGACTAGGGCCAGGGATCAAACCTGCAATCCAGCTACCTGCCCTTGACTGGGAATCAAACCTGCAGCCCTTTGGGCCATTGCTGTAACCATGGAGCAATACTGACCAAGGATCACATTACCATTTTTAAAACATGCTCTTATTTCTCATAATGGATGTATTCTTAATTTACACTTGCCCAGAGTCTTTTTCCCTCAGGCACTAGTAAGTGCTAGAGAGTTGTCATGCTCATTTTACGATATTGTTGATATCAACATATCCTTTAAGAATTGGAAAATGGGTATTGCGAGTGTAATAGTGGCTGATGTTTTCTTTGTCACTTGTTAAAGACAACAATATTTATATTATGGAATAATTGAAACTGTGGCAAATATGGACAGAACTATAGACATAACGTATATATTTCAGCCAGGGTTGAGGCTGAGACTTCTAAGTGGGAGAAGATGTTTTCCAAATATGACCAGTTGACCACCTTACTCATGGGCTTTGTGTATAGAAACTTGAAACCGAAATTTATGTGTCAGAGTGTTTTGTACATATATTACTACCTATAGCATCTAAAGTTCCTTATAAGTGTACTATCATTAAAAAATTTGCCCCATTTTATGCTCCATGTTGTAGTTTTTTTCCAAGTTAAAAACTATAATAATAATTTTGTCTTTGTAGCACTTAAATGCAGAAAGGTCTTACAAGTCCCAGATTTGTACGTTGCATAAATCTCTTGTGAAGATGGAAGAGGAGCTTCAGAAGGTTCAGTTTGAAAAGGTGTCTGCCCTTGCAGATTTGTCTTCCACAAGGGAACTTTGTATTAAACTTGACGCAAGCAAAGACCTTCTTAATCAGCAGAGTAGGAGGTGTGCAGGAGGTAGCTGGTCGATGTTTCCCTCTCATCGATGTTTCAAACTCTCTATCTCTCTCCCTTCCTGTCTGTAAAAAATCAATAAAATATATTTTAAAAAATAAAATGTTTTATTTTGTCATATTTCTAGTATATAAAATTACTATAGGATTAGAAAAAAGTTGTGTTTAATATTACATCAAGCCTGTCTCTCACCTTTAGATTTCTTTTTTTAAGTCCCTGAGATTAATTTGACAGCTACATTCTAACAATTCAAGTAAGTAACATAACTCTTCCTCTGAGCATTTAATTTATATTTACGTTTGTCTAGAAGAATGATAAAACATCTTTACATGCCAATCAGTAAAGAACCACGAGGTTGCTCTAACTGGTTTGGCTCAGTGGATAGAGCGTTGGCCTGCGGACTGAAAGGTCCCAGGTTCGCTTCAGGTCAAGGGCATGTACCTGAGTTGCGGGCACATCCCCAGTAGGGAGTGTGCAGGAGGCAACTGGTAGATGTTTCTCTCTCATCGATGTTCCTAACTCTCTATCTCTCTCCCTTGCTCTCTGTAAAAAACCAATAAAATATATTTTTTAAAAATTTAAAGAACCACGAGGTTGAGGTCCATCCAGCTAAATTATAACTTTAATGACATTCTTTTAAGCTAAATTTATTTACTAATTGGGTTCTTTTAAACTGTAACTCAGTTGGTTATATCTACCGTGTGCCTGACATTGTGCTTGCCACTGTGACTATAATGTTCAAAAGATACAGGTCGCTGCTCTCACGGACCTTTCAGTATTGGCATTGGGATGAATGTTCTAATAAGAAATACGGTTTAGAGAGGGAGATCCTATTCAGCCTGTGGGTGTCGGGAGGGAGTGGACATACTAATGAGCACAGAAGAGATGAGGTGTTTCATTCAGAGGGAACAACAACATAGGGAATGAATGGGGGTAAAAGATTTCTTGTGTGAATATTAAGTAATTTTCAATGGCCAGTGTAGCATGCCTAGGTAACAATGGCTGGAGATGCATCTACAGAGAGAGATGGAACTCAGATCTTAAAGTATATGTATACAAGTTGCATAGTGTAACTGAAGAATTAATGAATTTGATCATGTGTACATTTCTGTTATTTTCAAATCCTATTGAAATTTTAATTTTCTTAGTCTACTATTTGTTAGAACAGCGGTTCTCAACCTGTGGGTCGCGACCCCTTTTACAGGGGTCGCCTAAGACCATCGGAAAACACATATATAATTACATATTGTTTTTGTGATTAATCATTATGCTTTACTTATGTTCAATTTGTAACAATGAAAATACATCCTGCATATCAGATATTTACATTAAGATTCATAACAGTAGCAAAATTACAGTTATGAAGTAGCAACAAAAATAATTTTATGGTTGGGGGTCACCACAACATGAGGAGCTGTATTAAAGAGTCGTGGCATTAGGAAGGTTGAGAGCCACTGAGTTAGGAGAATATGTTGCATTTGAGAATCATGTAGTAGCTGGTTTCTGTAAGAATTTACTGTTTATATTTTATGAATGAAGTATATGCCAGTATTGTAAGACTCTTCCTTTAATTATTTTTTATTTCAGCAAGAACATTTTAATGATGAAAGTGACTCATACCCACTTAACAATTTAAATAATATGTCCTTAATTTTTTCTTTAAAAATACTTTTTACTTGGCGTTTTCAAGTTGGAAAAATAATACATGTAATAATTGAAACATTTGTTATTTGTAGTTTTTCTTTTTCTTTTTTTATAATAGCTATCCTCATAGTTGTTAAGTGGTCAGGCTAATGCTCATTGCATTTAAAAATACTCCTGACAAACTTTTTGCCTTGAAATTTAATTATTTATGTTTATATGGTTTTTTCTATAATCCTATATAATAAAAGCCTAATATGCTAAGTGTCTAGTCGTCTGGTCATCTGTTCAATCAATCAAAGCATAATATGCCAATCATATGCTAAGGCTGCTAAACCACTCACTTTGACATGGACTGCTGACCACCCGGGGGCAGACTATTAACTGGTCGACCAGGCCCTATGCCATGCACTGACCACCAGGAGGCAGATGCTCCGACCGGTAGGTTAGCTTGCTGTTTGGCCAGTTGGGACTGAGCGAGATGAGCTGAACATGCCCTGGAGACCTCCCACAGTCCCTCTCCGGCTGGCCAACCTCCCGCATCCCTCCCTGGCCCTGATTGTGTGCTGGTGGGGTCTCTTGGCCTGACCTGCGCCTTTTCATAATCCAGGACCCCTTGAGGGATGTCGGAGAGCCTGTTTTGGCCCAATTCCGCCAGCCAGGCTGAGGAACCCCACTGGTGCATGAATTTGTGCACCAGGCCTCTGGTAAGCTATAATTGCAAGGGCAAGGACCATCTTACTTATCTTTGTATTTCTTTTCTGTTTTGTTTCCTTTTTTTTTTTTAGGAAGAGTAAAAGGGAAGCAGGGAGGGAGAGAAAGAGAAAGATCAGTATGAGACACATCAATTGGTTGCCTCCCACACTCACCCAACCAGGGCCGGGGATTGAATCTGTTACCTTGAGGAGTGCAGGCCGATGCTCCAACCACTAAGCCACAATGGCCCAGGCATTTTGTATTTCTTTATCTGTATTATGTGTTCAGTGGACACAAATACTTTTTAAATTTTATTGTAGTGACATTGGTTAATAAAATTATATAGGTTTCAAATGTACAATTCTATGATATAGCATTGCATATTGCATTGTGTGACCACCACCCAAAGTCAAATCTTCTTCTGTCATCAGATATTTGATCCCCTTTACTCTATACTATCCCCCAATCCCCTTCCCTCTGGTAACCACCATACTGTTGTCTGTGTCTGTAAGTTTGTGATTGTTTTTCTTATTTATTCATTTGTTGCTTTCAGTTTATATCCCATTATGAGTGAAATCATATGGTTCTTGACTTTTTCTGTCTGACTTATTTCACTTAGCATGATATTCTCAAGGTCCATCCATGTTGCTGCAAATGGCAGTATTTCATCCTTCCTAATGGCTGAGTTGTATTCCATTGTGTATAGCTACCACATCATCTTTACCTCATCATCTATCTAAGGGCACTTCAGTTGTTTCAATGTCTTGGCCACCATCAGTAATGCTCCAGTGAACATAAGGAGTGCATATATCTTTGCAAAGAAATGGTTTCAAGTTTTTTAGGTATATACCCAGAAGTGGTATGGCTGGGTCATATGGTAACTCTGTTCATAAGTTTTTGAGGAGCCTCCATACTATTTTTCATAGTGGCTGTACCAGTTTACATTCCTACCAGCAGTGAATGAGGCTTTCTTTTTCTCTACAATACTTTTTTTAAATCAAACTTTTGATTTTGAGATCACTGTAGATTCACATACAGTTGTAAGACATAATACGAAGAAATCCTGTGCATCCTTTACCTGGTCTCCCCCAATGGTAACATCTTACAAAACTGTAGTAGAATATCACGATCAGGATGCTGACTCAGATTCAGGCAAGATTTTTCTGTTACAGGATCCATCATGTTGCCCTTTTGAAGTCCTATCTACTTTTCTCTTATCCCCAACCCCTCCTCAAAATCTGTTATCCATTTCTATAATTACATACAGTTATGTAACTTTTTTGGATTGTTTTTTTTTTTTTTAACTCAGCATAATTCTCTGAAGATTCATCCAGGTTGTTCTGTGTATTAAGAGTTCATTCCTTTTTATTGCTGAGTAGTATTCCATGCAGTTGGTGTAACACAGTGTATTTAACCATTCACTGATTGAAGGACATGTGGATGATTTCCAGTTTTTGGGTCTTACAAATAAAGTTGTTGTAAACATTTGTGTACAGCTTTTTGTAAACATAGGTCCTAATTTCTCTGTAAATGCCCAGGAATGCAATTTTTTGTATTATATAATAGTTCCATGATAAGTTTCTTAGAAAAGTGCCAAACTGTTTCCCCAAGTGTCTGTACCATTTTGCATCCCTACCAACAATGTGAGTGATCCAGTTTTTCCATTTCCTTATCAGCATTTGGTGTTGTCACTATTTTTTATTCTAGCCATTCTGATGTGTATAATGCTATATCATAATCTATTTGTATTTCCCTGATGATATCCTTTTGGTGTGCTTGTTTGCCATCTATCTATCTTCTTCAGTGAAATGTCTCTTATGTCTTTTGTCCATATTCTCATTGGATTGTTTGCTTTTTTAATGCTAGTATGGAGAATTCTTTATATATTCTAGATTCTAGTTCTTTATCAGATACATGTTTTGCGAATATTTTCTCCCACTATGTAGTTTGCATTTTCATCCTCTTATCAGGGTCTTTCTCAGAGCAAAAGTTCAAAAGTTCGATGAAGTGCAATTTATCAATTTTTCTTTTATAGATTTACTTTTGGTTTTAAGTCTAAGAATTCTTTGCATAGCTCTAGGTCCCAAGAATTTTTGCTAGGTTTTATTTAATTTTTTCTTTATTGATTAAGGTATTACATATGTGTCCTTATACCCCCATTGCCTCCCTCCCTACCCCTCACTCATGCCCTCACCCTCCTGGTGTCTGTGTCCATTGGTTAGGCTTATATGTATGTGTACAAGTCCTTTGGTTTTTATTTCACATTTAATTTTATGATTTATTTTGAACAAATTTCTGCATAAGGTGTAAAGTTTGGGTCAAGGTTCTTTTTAATGCCTATAGATGTCCAATTACTCTAGTACCATTTGTTGGAAAAGCTACCTCTCCTTCATTAAATTGATTTTGTACTTCAGTGAAAAATCAGTTGGATGTACTTGAGCAGGTCTGCTTCTTGGTTTTTTAATTTTTTCCATTGATCTGTGTCTGTTTGTTCACCGGTACCACACCATCTTAATTACTGTAGCTAATAATAAATCTTTAAATCAGGTAAACAGATTTCATCCACTTTATTCTGCTTCTTCAGAATTGTCTTAGCTATTCTAGCTTTTTCGTCTTTCCATTTAAGTTTTAGAATAATTTGTCTATTT